TACTCTTAACTGTTATCTAATTAGTGCATTACAACTGTTGTAATATATTGTATATACTGTAAAGCCCATTGAGGCAAATGTCTGATTTGTGATATTGGACTATATGAATAAAAAGTGACTTGATAACTAATTCAGGTCATAGGTTAGTAAAAGCAGAGGGATTTTCTCCTTTATTACCAACAAAATTGGCAACATCTACTATTACAGCGTCCAGGGTTCGCATCCTGTGTCCTGGTCGTGGTTAGGTTTAGGCAACAAAAGCGTGTTGGTTAAGGTTAGGGAAAGATCATGGTTTTATTACGTGCTAAAATGATAAACTTGTGCTTCAAGTCACTTTTGACATTTAATTATTAAACCAAGACCAGAGTCTCTTCCTGACCTTATCCTGTGATTGCCTGAACATAACCATAAAAAGTTGCTACAGATATTCTAGGAAAACCAATTAACACAAACTGTTGCAACTTAGAAATTAATAAAAATGCAATTTCTAGGAGACAGTGTTTAAATGTGGACATCAGAACTCATAACATGTCACTTTTTAAACCACGCAATATAGCTTAATATCCATTCCATCAATTAATAAATCATCACCATAACAGTCAGTTAAGGAAGTCAATCTACAAAATTCATCTCCACAAAATATATCTCAACTTACACTGAATGTAAAAATGAGTCAAAAAGTAAGACTCAACTAGCCAGCAGACAAGTGAAGTGTTAGGTCTTAAGATAAATCAAATGTGTCTTTAAATTAAAAATAACACAATTTAGCTTGAGCTCCTATTTCACACATATGATCCAGTAACTGATAGTACTATAACAAAGTGGTAATTCCCTGGTCCCCAAAGTGTTTCTGATTATGCGTACAAGGGTTTCCTCAAGCTGGTGTTACCCTCTTCCCTCCTTCTCCACATTTGTTTGACTATAGATGTTTCCCATCGTTTTGCCGGCTTAGTTTATCAAAAATAAAGCTAGCAAGCCTAAGCCAAGCTTCAAGCAAACAAAGCTCTGTTTTTCTCAGTGTGATATAGTGACAGCCTTATTGCCAACGCTACAGTCAGTCGTGCAACCGTTGTTGCTGCCACAATGGAAGAGCGTCCCCATTCATCACGGTCTGTCTACATACGTTCCAAACAACTAAAAATAAACTTCTCCAACCTCTCAGTAAACAGGATGAGGGTGTAGGTACACAGCACACAAAAAGCATGATGAGCAGTGAACACTGAAAATTACAAATGGTTGCCTGTCTTATTACCCAAGCAAATCACATTAGATATCCTTTGGAAGCCTAATATAGATGCAGCAGTGTGTGGTCCTCTCTCTTTCAATCAGTCTTTCTATCCATCTTTCTCCCTGTCTCTTGATGTCCCTCATTCTCTTTGTCAGCCCTTTTCTCATGAACTTTCTCTCCGCCGTCTTTCACTTTTTTGTCCCTTTGCCTTTCTGTACTTCTGCCTCTTTGACACATTCTCTCCCTGCTGACCACACAGATACAGTATATTCAAGTGGAAGTTAAGGACAGAGCGTTGCATTATTCAAACCGCTCACAGGAACAAGAGCTGGGAACAATGACAGGCAAATTCCCATTAAACCAGGCCATTTGCTGAGACAACAAATCCAAAGACCACAGTAAAGCAGCAACACTCGGGAGAGCAGTTAACACATTCACACATGTGGGACAGAGACTGAGACAGAATCATTATTATTATTACTTTTAGCATATAACCAGTTTATTCATGGGCAGGGATACAACTACTGATTAGTTTCGATTAATCTATTGATTATTTATTAGTTGTTTGGTCTGCAGAATATCAGAAAATGGTGAAAAATGTGGCATTTCCCAAAGCCCAAGATGACGTCCTCAAATGTCTTGTTTTGTCCACAACCCAAATATATTTAGTCTACTGTCATGAAGGAGTAAAGAGAATATATTCACATTTAAGAAGCTGAAATCAGAGAATTTTGACTTTTTTCCCTTAAAAAAAAGACTTATCAAAATAGTAAGCAATGAATTTAATAGTTTAAAACTTATCGATTAATTGTTGCAGTTCTATCCACGAGGAATTGGCACATTTAAAGCACCACTACAACTGGCTGGGTGTATTAACTGACCGAGACTGACACCTACCACACAGTTAGTGTAGGCTAACGTGTGCTGTGAGATCAGGGGCCAAAACTGCGCAGTCAGTTAGCTGGAAAGCACTGAGCCTGCTGGGAAACTCAGTGGAAATACCTGCCACATCACAAACTTAATGTGGAAAATCAAGTGACCAGAACCAACATCCTGAATACTGCCAACCTGCTTACGACATTCTCTGATGCAGCCCTCAGGGTCACAACACATCAAACAGTGTTTGAGATTCACATAATCAGGCTCCTGACAATTCTTATGGGAAATGCCAATGTCACCATGTTGATATTAAAGTTGAGAGAGTCAAGAGTTTAAAGTTATGGTAAAGTTTTAGGCAGAGCACAGTCCTTTGTCGAGAATAGTTTAACTACAGTTCAACTATAGTTTAAAGACTCTTTCAAACCCTTCAGAAAATTAATTCCACTGACTTTTTTTGTTGGGCTAAACAATCAAACCGTTTTATGCCAATGCCTTTACGTTCTTTTGCACTTGACAAACTGTCATCTCAACATATGCAATGTAGGCATAATCCATGAACAATTAATTAAGGTCTGTATTGAACTGTGGCATCACCTAACATTTTGTTACCAAAAATATTAAAGGAGCCTAGCTGATTAATTGTGGCACTCTTTTTGACCTTCTGGCATAGTGATCTGTTTAGACCACAGGGAGCGAAGTCTTGTGATTTTATCCAATGGGAACAAACAGTATGCCAATAGCTTTTGGCTATCTCAGTGTGCAAGTAAGCACACTGTTTCCCCCGGCCAGATCAATGTTTCTTGATTAGACTGCCTGGGCCAAAAGGAATGCAGCAACTTTCCTATTCGTCAGCTACCCAGACCCATTTTCATTTAACACATGCACACGTACATATGCAGAAATACACTTGCATGCGCACGCACGCACTCATGCTTAAACACAAAAAGACATACTGATGTCACAGACATCACCGACACAGACGTCATTCACCCCGTGACATTTAGCGCAAAAATCAAATAGTGCAGGGCCCGGCTAAAAATCAATGGGCATTTGCAACAATCAATGGCCGGGTTCCTATGAGAACTAATTAGAAAGGTAAACATGCAGCGCTGCCTCCTTCCTCCTCTCTGTCTCTAAACTAAGTGCTTCTCCACCGTAGGGTCAAAACTTTACTTCAATGTAACTTTTTTTTACTGTAAAACAACAGTGACATTCCTAAGTGAGGATCAAAAAATTTACTGATTATAAATAAAGTAAATGAATATAATAGTAGTATAATAATAGTAAATGAATAGAAAAATGGGTGTGAAGTTATGTCTCTTTATTTTCAACATATAAAATAATCCGTATAGCGGTATGGTCCTAAACTTTCTTAGCTCTGAAAGGCATTGATTTGTCAAGGTGATTGACTGGTCAAGAACACGGATTTAGATAGATATGAGACTCTTAGTCACCAGTTAAAGCAATATTGCTCTAAAGACATGAGTTCTTGTGATATTCTCTTGGTAGCTCAGATGACATCCACTATTATTAAAAAGGTCTGTGACACCTGAGTGCAGCCTGAAATCCTCTGCTGATCTTCTTTTAAACGTTTCAAAAAAACTTTCTTGTTTTATGCGTCAGAACCTCTGGCCTTCTGAATGATATTTAAAAGGCAATCAGCAAACCCAGCAAGTTTGTTTTAATGCGTTTTGACAGACTTGGGATAAGCCAGTAAACATGATGGATGGGATGGATAGACTCTTACAGACTTTCTTATCTTATATTCTCCTTACCAAATTTTTGCATCCTGTTTCCACCTTGGAATGATTTGGTCTTCTCGTCTGAACATTTAGTCTGAATTAATGTAGATCACTTATAATGAGTAACCTCATTTCCTTGTTGGTGAATCAGGCCGTTGTTACCGGTATTATCAGTGTGACCTGATGGAAGGCTAATTAACTGTCCATCTATATATCTCCTTCATCTATCTACATATATCCTATTTCCTCTGACATCGCCCTATTAACTCTTTATCCTATCCACCTACCTCTACATATCCTCCTGTCTACCAATCTATTAAGCTATCCCTATGACTGTATTGCTGTACAGTAGGTACTGTAGCACACAGATACACACACAGACTATGCTGTGCGGCAAATCAAGTAATGTGGAGTCGTCACTTTTACACTTGGTTTGTTAATTCTTGACAACTCTGATAAGGCTTGTGTGTCAGATATTATACTTGTATGTATCTTAACAAAATAAGCCTGATGGAAACTTGGGAGGTGGAATTGACAAAGAAGTCAGAAATAATGAAAGGACGAAAGGATCAAATTATTCACTAAAAACTTGCTGCAGAAGTTGACAGTTAATACATTTACTCATTGGAGTCAGCTACACCGTAAACCTATGGCAAGGAGATAAATGGTATCTCTAGATCACTGAGATATGTAGCGCACAGTGACTGGAACAGCTCCTAAAGAATATGCTCCATTGCTAATGTGGCTAAAGGAGGTATCCACAGACACACACAGACAATAAATGGGCCTTGGCTATTCTTAAAAGAAATATCTAGCCAAGCTTCACACAGAAAATCCAAGCTGTGATAATGTAAAAGTGCTTCAGAAGGCATTAATGACCAACAGAAAGAAGGTAGGCTGCAGCCTCAATCAAAGGATCATTTATATTTGCATTGAAAAGCAAACAAAATGATTGTTTTTTATTCATGTCTTGCAGTCATTTCAGGTGTCATGCTGAGTTGCTTTCCGTTGCCATGTGAATAAATGTTTGCACGCTTTACCTTGCATACATGCATACGTAAAGAGAGGGAGAGGGCATTTAATATTGAGTAGAGCAGGAACACATGCACAAAGGTATGCTGTAGTAGCATGCATCTGAATTTGCAACTCACCCTGAGAGCACCTAAGCTGAGCCTTGTAGTGCTGGTCTTCTGGGTTGCAGCTGTGAACAGAAGGAGAAGGAGTTGTAGCTGTTTCTAAACATGTAAAGTATTTTGTACTTATTTTAAATTCACGAGACAGACCTGGAGAAAACAGGGACACAAAATAATGACATTTTATTTGCCTAACAAGGCAAAGCCTAACCAAAGACAAAGAAATCAGATCTCCGGCAGCAACAGTGTGTCCTGTAAATGCTCCCTCCTGATCCACTCTATCCAAATAAATAAAAAATAAGACATAACTTGGTAAGCACAAGCCATTTTACACTAGTGGTTTCAATGGCTAGTGGACCGATATGGTTTCTCAATGGCACATGCCGATATTTAGAGAGCAGGGCAGCCGATGACTGATATATATACTGCTGATATCAAAACAAAGTAAAGTCATGTCATTATTCAAAATCATTGTTACATGCAGAGTACAATTTAATATACATGGTTATCTTCGCCAGTAACATGTTATTCTAGATGGAATTTTTATTAATCAAATAGAAAAATACACTAAGTTATGCTGAAAATTTCAAAATGGTGTTTAAGGGAGAGCGGGGTACCGATTGTCAAAAGTGACATCATTCAGCTGCATTATTCTCTACAGTATAACAGCATATATTTAATGCTAGCCAGTAATGGGCAGTTTAAATTAGATTAGGATGGAAAGAAACATGTTAACATTTAGAAAAGACAATGGTGACTCAGGACATTTAGTCTAGGGCTCCAAACTAACTTTTTCACCACCTTCCCTAAACACACTAGGTGGAGTGCTGACATCGTTTCCACTCCAACCACGCTGATGAGGATGCCTGCAGATGTCCACAGACATTTTTTGTATATTAGCCTCGTGGGTGCAGGTGTCAGCCGAAGTCGATTATCTCAAAATATCCGGCACGATTAATCGGCCAACAGATTACTTGGCCTATCACTGTTTTAATATTCAACCTACTGACAGCAACAGGAACAATGCATTGATAAAAGCTTGTAGTCGTGATCTTATGTTTCAATATTCTGCCCCTGTTGCTCAACTCAAAATTCTGGTGAAGTGGTGTATTTATTTTTTTAAGGTAACGCATTGTAATGTCGTCGAACTGACCGTTGTTCAAGTCCAATAATCTTACTGAGCGTCTTTCTTCAGTCAAGGCATTCTGTAACTGATACATACAGTATATATATAATAAAAATGTTGAAGGATATGATGAAGCATTTTAAACGTATTTCACTGTGACAAACACTTTCACTCTAAAGTAAGACTGTCCTGTGTGACAACATTGCCAGCTCGAACTGTACACAAACATGCGTCAATTAGCATTTATAATGGCTTTGAAGGACACTAAAATTACTCTAATTTTACACTTGAGACATGAGCCAGCACTTGATACAGATCCTTGATAGAGCCAGTGGATGCAGGCGTGTGTGTGTGTAGGAGCTAGTAATACACGACATGACCCTTCCTGTTGCACAAAGCACTCGTCTTATGAGCTCCTCTCATGATCCTAATTAGGCTGCCGTATTGTTCCAGCACTCAGCCTTACAATCAGTTCTCCAATTCAAGTGTTAATTAAACATAGGTTTCAAATGCACCTTTGTCATATATTGTATGTCGGCATGTACATAAGCGCACACTGTAGCTGTTATCAACCCCCCTGAGTGCTTTCAACCATCACACTTACATACCGTGGGTGTGATGGTTTAAATTGACGTCTTCACCTTGGCCATCTCTTATCAAAGGTAAAAACGTAAAAAAGCTGCAACTTAAACGAATATTCACAAGGACAGACAGTGAGGGAGAGACACACTCCATGGTGCTTTGGGAGAGTCTGATTTTATATTATTATATCTAGGTCAGCTAGATGACATGTATTTTAGCTTAATGCTGTGGCAATATTCAGAGGGGTTTTTAAGAAATGAATACAGGTTACAATTGCAAATAACAGGCTTCATAGTACAAAAAAACACCAAAGAAAATCAAGGCAGAACAGAAGGAGTTCCATATTGAGCAAATCTGATTCCCCCAACTGTATAACATCACCAGAAGACAGGTAGGCGAGCAAGTCCAAGAAAGAAAAGGGAAAGATGCTGAAAAGGAGCCAAAGTTGAGGAGACTGGGACCGGTTGTTTAGGATAAACACACAGTTTTTGAGACTTCTTGCTGCACAAAGGTGTGTGGTTGAGTGACAGCTCACATTTTAAGAGTTGAAAAAAGCCAACCAGTTTACTCTGCTGAAAATGAGAATGTGGAAAACAACCAAGGCTAACGCAATCAGTGAGATGAAACCAAAGAATCCGTCTGAGGCAAGGAAGATAAAAGAAGATAAATTGTGAAGACGTAGATCTAGTTTCTGTTTAATGGCATAAAGAGGTCTATACAGCTAAAAGCGAAAGTTATGCGGTACTGGTTTCATTTACATATCATTTTTTTAAATGGTGGGAATTTTATTTTATTTTTTAAGGATTTATCAGGCTATTGTTCTGCTGCATTCAATATGGCACCATGCCCAGCAAATCTGTTAGTGAATGTCCCCGTCTCTTTGTTTAGTTTAGTTACAAAAGATAAAGACAAGCCTCTGAAATGACTCAGGGACACAATGACATAAATAAGGGAATTTACAGATGGTGATTATAAATTATAAATTCCATTACACACAGAGAGAGGGGGGAATTTGTGACAGTGCTGGTATACATCCAGTCACATCTGCTGCTACAGCAGACACAGTACCTTCAGTGAGAGAGAGTAAGGTGGTGTGTGTGGTGTGGTGGGGTATTATTTTCACAGCTTTCAGTTCATCACTCATTCGTTCCGGGGACATCCAACAGCTTGCAGGAGAGAGTGACAGGACAAGAAAAGGAGATGAGTGAAGCACAAGAGGGAGTGGGAAGAGACAAAGACAAAAATCTAAAGATAAAAAGAAGAGAGGGTGGCTGGTGATTGACCATCCCAGTCCCTGAAAACAGAAAAACACAGTGACATGCCTGTGCCCAGAATCATATGACGGCCCTCATTTGGCTTCTCACTACCATAAAAATCTGGCACTGTGAGTAGACAGCAGCTGCTGCATGTGCCACACTTTAAACATGTACTCTCTGTGTTTGATAGCTGCCAACATCGCTGCAAAGCATGGCCGTGCACACCCACACAAGCACATAGTCAGTCACTACCGTATGTGCAAGAAGGGACAAGAAGCTACTGAATTAAAGGCTCATTTACTCTTATAACTTGTGACATTGTATTGATCCAAGTCTGTGGCAAAATACAAAGTTCTGATCCATCACTCAAAGATCTGGGTCTTAATGTTGAGAAAATTAATAGTTTTTATACCATGAGTACAACTGGTAACAGCGGGAAGGTGAGAATTTATTTTTACAGTTAATGCAAGAGCACATAAACATGCATGAAAAACTTCATTCAAACCATTTTGGTAGATATGTTTGAAATCACTTAAATATCCAATTTGCATTTAATTATGTAAAAGTTATATTCAATTCATTTTATCATAATTACTCATCATCCTCTGAGGGGAAACATGGGCTGACACTGTACTAGCTTCAGTGAGAAATGTTACTAAAGTTTACTTTCTCTGGTGGATGAACTCATTCCTGTCGTTATCCTGATCATTCACACAGAAGTGCACACAGTGATGGGATTGCCACTTTTGAAAGGAAATTGATTTTAAGCGATACAATTTTTGAATCAAACGGCAAGTCATGAGTATATTAATTTTTTTCTCAGAAATAAGCCTAAGTAGTGCACCCTGTTCGGCAAGGTGCTCCAGCCAAATACAGTGGGATGTGTTAGACGATAAGCAGTTGATTATGCTGCAGATCAGCCACTTAAAAGGAGAAACTAAAGAAGTTTGCACTTGAAGTTTTGCAATGGAGTGTTTAAATGATTTGGCATGATTTAAAATCCTCTAAATACCAATAAATTCCCATATTTTCTTAATTCTAAAGGGGAAGAAAACTAAATAACAAGACCAATAGGCTCAGTATTTCAGGTGCTTTTATTTTCATTTTTTCATCTTCCCCCTCCCCTTCTTACTAAAGTGGCATAGTGCAGCTGAAATGTCACAGGAGCTGAAAATATTGCACTATGCATATTTCCCTGGCCAGCTCCAGACCTTCTGTCAGACGACAAACATTTCAGCTATTTGTCCTCATTACAGAATGGCCTCCGACTGCTCACCTTAATTCCCCCGCCCGTCCCTCAAGGGGCTCTTTTCCACCCTTGCCTAGCATGAGTCATTTTTACGACGGCCACTCTGGCCCCCACCGGCCCGGACCGCCTACGCTTTAAACCCAGCTAGGCGAGTAAATCTGCCAGCTTTAATTAAAATAGCTTCTTTTGTAGCATTTCTCTCCCTCCGTCCTCTTGTCCCTGATGACATAATGGTGCTGGGAACTTCCCTTTGCAGCGCTGACTCAAAAGGACTGACCCTTGGAAAAATGGAGGTGTGTCGCACTATTTTATGATGAGTTAGCAAGAAATAAGCCACATCTCATCCTATCTCCTCATGTTCATGCTTTGACCTGGTTTCCTGGGTGAAGAGATTATTGTGAAGGTTGTGGGTAGAAGATGCGCTGATTAGAAAGAAATAATTAAAAAAATATGTGACAACAATCAATGAGCAGAAAACTTCTATCATGGTTTGATTTGACTGGGGCACTTTTAAAGTAGAATACGTTTCTTAGTGTGTGGGGTGACAAGTAAGGACTTTGTTGTCTTTCAAGGTCAGCCTTTCTTGGGGAAATAACGATTTGTGAAGCTGAATCAATGAGGCTCATTCAAGCCGTTTTCCTACAATATTGTTCAGGGACTAACTTTGGTGCCATTGATTAGCTGATTTATGGCTTGCATCTGTTCAGCCCTCACAGTTAATCTAGAGCCGCTCATTACAGGAGAACGATGGAGAGGAGAAGAGAGAAGAGAACAGAAGAGAACAGAAGAGAGAAGAACATACAGTATGTCTCAAACTGATTTGTGAAAAGGCTATAGGCGCCAAGCGAGCAACCT